CCAAAGGTCTCATGATAGAAAATGCTATCCACATCCAAAGAAAGAACTACAGAGTTTGAATTCAGATCGAAGCATACTATTTGCTACTTTTTTTCTTCTGTTGTGTTTTGTTTCCTCTTTCTCATGGTTCCTCCTACAGGTTCTAATTCTTACAACACCACTAATGTGAAAATATGTTTAATAGGAATGTATATGTATAGCCTATATCAGATTGAGCACTCTCTTGGGGAGGGTCGTGGGGAAAGAGGGGGGAGAAAAATTTAAAACTCAAAAGCTTATGGAAGTGATTGTTGACAAATCAAAATAAATTAATAAAGTTAAAAAAAAAGAAAAAAGAAAGTGGAAACAGAAAAAAAGAGAGAGAGGGAGAGTGAGGCTGACAATTTCGCCCAACTCTCCCTCACTTAAATCCAATTTATGCACAAATCAAAAGACATCACCCATACCATTCTACCCTGCCTCCCCCCCTTTTTTTACTTACCTCAAAGTCCTGTGGCGACAGTCAAGTGACAAAGCAGATACACTGGGAACTGTAGTCACAACTCTGCAACAGGTGACCCAGACCATAGGGTCATCTCACTGGAAGCTGCAGTGGGATTCCACAGCCCCTTGGGTATCTGAGCAGCCTTTTAAGGACTGCACTGCTCACCTCCTGGTGTGAGGAAGGGACTAGAAAAGGTGCCCTAAAAATTGTATGTTTCACCCAACCCTGGCCTGCTTACCAAGGCAGGTGGGGATCCCACCCTGTGGTAGAAACACAATAAAAAAAATGCACAAAAACTTTTGCAAAGATGATTCCACTCACCATCAGTACATGAAATGTGTGAACACACTTAAACACTTATAAACATATGTAAATTTATAAAAAACACTTATAAACACTTTTAAAACAAAATCCAGTAGACCTGAAAGACAGCTCTTGCTATGAGAGAACTCAGCAGGTTCTCACACCAAATAGCAGTCCTGAGTGAAATAAGGCTAGCAAATGAAGGCCAGATTATTGAAGTCAGAGCTGGAAATACGTTTTTTTTTTGAGTGGCTGCAGTGAAGAGGAGCACCATGAAGCTGGTATAGGTTTTGCAATCAAAACTAAACTAGTCAACAAGCTTGTATGCCTACCAAAAGGAGTGAACAACAACAGACTTATGACAATGAGATTGCCATTTGCAGGAAAGTGCCACACCATCATCATCAGTGCATATGCTCCCCCCATGACAAACCTTGATGAGGTCAAAGAAAAATTTTATGAAGACCTAGAGATCCTCATCAGCAATGTGCCAAAAGAGGGCAAGCTTATAATTCTGGGTGATTTTAGTAGTAGTGACTTTAGAGTAGGCACAGACTACCAGACATGGCAGGGAGTCCTTGGGAGGAATGGAGTCAGAAATAGCAACAGCACTGGTCACTTACTATTGAAGACTTGTACATGTCATGATCTTCTCATCACCAACACTGTCTTCCATTTACCTAAATGCAATAAAACTTCGTGGATGCACCCTTGCAACAAACATTGGCATTTAATAGACTATTTCATTGTAAGGAGAAGAGACAGACAAGATGTGAGAGTGATGAAGGTGATGTGTGGCACAGAGTGCTAGGCTGACCACAGACTTATCCTCTCCAAGCTAAATATTTGCATTCAACAAAAGTGGCAACTCCAAGACAAAATGACTACCAGAAGACATAATGTCAACAGATAAGAGTGCTTCTTCAAGTGGGAACAATTCATTGCTAACTTGGAGGAAAAGCTGAGTCAACACATGGTTGGCAACAATGGAGTAAAAGAGGAGTGGGCAGCTTTCAGAGATTTGGGGTATAGTACTGCATTTACTCATCTGGACCAGTATACTTATAAACATCAACACTGGTTAGATGAAAATTATGGGGAAATTCAGAAGCTGTTAAATGAAAAATGAGAATTCCACAGGGTTCATCAGCAATCCATCTTTAAGAAGGCAGTGTTTAATTCCATCAAAAGTAAAGTGCAAGCAAAGCTTAGAGAAATGCAGGATTCTTGGCTCAGTAAGAAGGCAGACAAAGTTCAGTTTTACGTTGATAGTAACAATCTAAATCATTTTTATGATGCCTTAAAGGCTATTTTGGGTCAAAGACCTATGGAGTATTTCAACGACTCAGTGCTAATGGAACCACATTGATTAGTGATAAGATCATGATCCTGGAGACATGGGTTGAACACTTCCATAATGTTCTCAACAGACCATCATCAATCAATGCTGAAGCCACTGACTGTATACCTCAGGTAGAAGTCAACTCCTCTCAAGTCAAATTTCCAACCGAAGAAATTTTGAATGCCATTCGCCTCCTCTCATATGACAAAGTGCCTGGTGCTGACTCTATTCCAACTGAGATTTCCAAGGCAGAGGGTTTACTATTACCAAAAAAGGGTCTACTCATACAAAAGCTGACTGACATTTTCTGTGTTATATGGCAAGAGGAAGTTATTCCCCTGGAGTTCAAGGATGCTTCCATTGTCCATCTCTGTAAAGGTAAAGGAAACAGATTGTCCTGTGACAATTACAGGGAGGTCTTGAAAGATTCTTGCCAGAATCCTCCTTAATAGGCTGATCCTTCACCTGGAAGATGGTCATCTACCTGAGAGCCAGTGTGACTTCAGAAAGGGCTGAGGGGTCTGTTGGTACAGTATTTGCTACCTGACAACTGCAGGAGAAATGCCAGGAGCAGAACAGTGGTCTGTACACAAAGTTGGTCAATCTGACCAAGGCCTGTGATACTGTCAGTTTCAAGGGCTTGTAACAAATTGGTTACCCAGAGAAGTTCATCAGTATCGTATGTCAATTTCATGATGGCATACTTGCCCAGGTTCTGCATAATGAATAAGGCTCTCACTCTTTCCCATTTACTGACGGAGTGAAGCAAGGCTGTGTGCTTGCTTCCATGTTTTTTAGCATGATGTTTTCAGCAATGTTGTTACAAGTCTTCAATGAGAATGAAAACAACATCAAGGCCAGATATAGCACTGAAGGTAAACTATTTAACTTGAAAAGGCTACAAGCCAAGACTAAAGTGGAGGGAGAGTTGGCATGATTTTCTGTTTGCAGATGATTGTGCACTCAATGCAGCTTCTGGATCTGAGATATAACAAAGTATGGATCGATTCTCTGCTACTTGTGCTAATTTTGGCCTAACAATTAACACTAAGAAAACATAGGTGCCCCACCAGCCAGCACCACACCATCCATACATGGAAACATTGGTTACAGAAAATGGAGAAGTTTTCAATACTGTGGATAAGCTCACTCACCTTGGCAGTACACTTTCCAGGGATGTACATATTGGTAATGAGGTTGACACATGCATTGCTAGAGCTAGCTCAGTGTTTGGGAGGCTCAGAAAGAAAGTGTGAGAGAGAAGAAGTATTAGACTGTCTACCAAACTGAAGGTCTACAGAGCCGTTGTGTTGACCTCATAGTTGCATGCGTGTGAAACCTGGACAGTCTACCAGCAGCATGCCAGGCAACTTCATCTTAGATTAAATTTCTTGTAAGCTTGGGTTGCGTTTGACCAAGACTGAGGAGTGTTAACTCAATCTAATTATTAGTAATGTCCTTCAAGAGACTAAACTTTGAAATAAGGATTATGGAAAAGGGGGGAACTCTGGATCTCCCTAAATCATTGGTTATTAATAATAATTTCTCTCAATAGTACCACATACATTTGTTTACATGTTACATTCTCCCCTTCCCCCAGTAGAATATAATCTTCATGAGAGCAGGAACCATTCTTCGTTTTTGTCTTGGTATCCTCAATGCCTACCATAATGCTTTACACATAATAGGGGCTTAATAAATGCTTGTTGGATTGGAAAGAATTTAATACGATTGAACCTCTCAAGGTTTCCTGTGTCAGCTATAAAAATAAAACAAAACATGAAAATTTTAAAAGGATTTACCAGGAAATTGTATTGTTTACATGTGCGCTGGGTTAGTGAGAGAAAAATTCTGTGATCAGAAAGAACAAGTGATGGCAATTGTCATGTCAGTTCCTAGGTCTGTAATATTTTTAAAAAGAGGGTAATTTGGAGAACCAGTTAGGATTCAGAAAGGAGTAGAGCTGAGATGAAAAGAAGGGGAAGAATTTAATCTGTAAGTCCTCCCAAATAGCCTATCCCTACCTTATTAATTTATATATTGAGGCTTGCCTGTAACTTTTTCTAGGGTATCTTTTTATGTCACCTAAAATTATATGTGAAGAGGGGCAGCTAGGTGGTGCAGTGGATAGAATAGCGTTCAAATCCGGCCTCAGACACATAACACGCACTAGCTGTGTGACCCTGGGCAAGTCACTTAACCCCATTGCCTGGCAAAAAAACAAAAACAACAACAAACCCCCCCCCAAAAAATAAACTTATAGGTGACTAAGACATTATTGGTGGAGTCACATGTGAATTGGTCCAATTATTTTGCTAAAAAAAAAGGCATTATCATAAAAACTGACTAAAATGTCCATACTCTTTCATCCAGAGATCCTGCTCCTAGGCATTTACCCCCAAGGAAGTGAGAGGCAGGAAAAAAAAAAAAGTCCCATATGTACCAAACTTTTCACAGCAGCACTTTTTGTGGTAGCAAAGAAATGGAAACAAAGTAGGTGCCCATTGATTGGGAATAGCTAGATAATTTATAGTACAAGAATATAACAGAATTTTAATGCAGAATTTTAGATAGAATAAAATAGAATTTTAATTTTAATGTAATAGAATTTTAAGAAACTATGAATATTCATGGGAAGACTTATTAACTTATGCAAAACAAAGTAAACAGAGTCAAGAAGCAATGCACAGAATGACAACAATGTAAGTGGAAAGAACAATAAATGGAAAATAAATGCTGTGTAAATATAATGATCAAGCTTGATCCCAGAGAAGAATTTAGAAAATGCTCATTCCACCCTTTACTGGAAAGGTATGTTAAAAATTCCACTTCCAGATGCGATTGATGTATTTATTAGTTTTGCTGTCCCCCCGTTTACATTTCCTACCCCCTTAAACATCTTCCCAAATGATAGATTTTTCACAAATAATTTTTTTTTTTAAAAATCCTTCTTGAACATCTCAAATTCATATATCATTCTTAACCTCGTCTTCCAATTCCCTTGTGGCCCCAAAATCGGGCTGATTGAATCGATAATAACAATCTTCTCTTGTAAACAAATTAAGAATCACTCATGGAAAGAAGAAGATTCAAGATCCCCGTTTCCTTCGCAGGTATCTTTCAACTGACACGCCTCCCTGTCATTGCAGGCAGTGACAGGTGGCACATTTAGAGGAGGGATTGACATGAATTGAGAAAGGTGAAAACCAAACAGCTAAAGAGGTAAAGAAAAAAGAACCGGGCCTTCCACGGTCCAAGTCACGAAATTATATGAACGAGAGCATTTATTAAGTTCTTATCATGTGACGGCATGTTTGCAAGAAAGGCAAAAACAGTCCTTGCCTTCAAGGAGCTCTCAATTCAGTGGGAGAGACAACATGCCGACAATTGTGTATATTGGCAAAACATATACAGGGGATATGGGGTAATTTCAGAGGTAAGTGAGTGAGGAGGCAGGGAAAGACAGGAAAGTCCTCTTGCAGGAAGGTGGAATTTGAACTGAGTCCTGAAAGAAGCCGAGTCTGGGTGTGCACCTCATTTTTAGCCACACCACAAATTTATCCCATTGCTGCTGGAATCTCTCAGATGTAAGCGGGCGAATGCGCGTGGGACGCCGACGCGGACCTGAACTAATCAGGTGTAAGAATGCAGAACCAGAAAAGACATTAACTCGCCAGCAAGCCCTAGCCAAGCCACTTACGTTTGCTCATCCCCATGATGAAAGGGACTGAGACCTTCTAAGAATCTAAGCCGGCGCATAGCTCCGCTGGCTGCCGAGGAAGCACAGCTAGACAAACCAGGCTCCAGCGCCTGTGTCCCTGCCCGGGGCACATTGCACGCTGGGAGATGTAGTTCTGGAACAGATGGAACGTGTTGACGTCGTCGGGCCGCTTGACGTATCACGTTCCCACTCCTGCACGTCCCCCTTCAAATCCTACTCCTTTCTAAGCCTCAGTCCAGTTCTCCCTCTACCCCGGCTCAGCCTCCGAACCCGGAGAACTTTTTACGACACACGGGATCCCAGAGTCCTCCCCGGCGCCGGCTCGCTTTTCGGCAAAGTGACGTGGACGTCAACAGCAATGGCGGAAGGAGAGGAGGCATCGCCGCCGCCAACGTCGGATAGCGACAGCTGGTGAGTGAGACCAGGGGCGCGGCCGGTGCCCACCCTTCCCCGGCTCCGCTCCGGCGCCCGCCTAACCCCTGAGGCGCCGAGATGGCGCGGGGGCATCCGCGGAGACCCTGTCCCCGCGGACCCGAGTGCCGCGCCCCGCCCCTGCCTCTTCTGCCTCTGGTTCCTTCTTCCCGGCCGGGCTGGGCTCGGGAGGAAGTGGAGGAGACGGGGAGCGGCTTCCCCGACCCCCTCCGGAAAAGACTCCCGCCCGCGCGGAGGGGACCCTCGGTCCTGGGGATCCGCCGACCCCTGTGGGAGGGACCTCCCCCGACCACCGTGTCATTGGCTCCCTCTGCCTCTCCCTCCCCCTAGAACTCCTGGAAGTGGCTTCCTCTCCGACCTCAGAGTAGCTCCCAACCCCCGTGTAAGTGGGTGTGTCGTGTTCTTCTACCTCCCCCGTTCCCCTTATAGAAGTATCCGGGCTGTGTTGGAGGAGGGTCCCAGGGCGGGTGGAGCTGGACTTGGGATATCGAGTGGAAATGTTTTCAGGGTCCTGTTTTGGAGTGTACCGAGTCTCTGCTGAGGGTTGGGGGGCGGGACGGCTGCTGTGGAAATCTGAACGGTGACCCACCTCTCCTTCAGTGCAGAGTTATCTCTGAGAAAAAGGAACTTCTCCCCCTCTGTACTGTTAGGAGGCGTGGTCTGTGTAGAACCCAATAGCTGAACCCCAGAGGCAATTCCTTCAGCCTTGCCTGTCTTCAGAGGGCTTAGTCCAGTTTCTTTTCACTCTTTATCTTCCAACCCGCTATGTTTTTATCAGCTTGAGACACGCATATCTGTGGCTATGTGTATGTCAGATCTGTATTATATTTAGTTGATTTATATTTGATTGCTAGTTTCTGAGATCACTTAGTCCACTGGTGTCTTTAAATTCTGAGTAGGTTGTCTGTGTTAGTGATGACTTGTCCACATATCTCTACCATAGCATGCTATATGATATTGGGCATATATATAGTAACACACACACACACACACACGATGACCTGATTCTATTTTCTAGTCCCATGACAACTAAAGATTTTTAAGAACAAGCGTCCTTGTACTTGCGATACAGATAGTTTAACCTTTTTTCTGTGTTGCCTATGCAAGTGGTAAATAAAGGGCACTCAAGACTCCAAAACTGTGATGAGTTTAGGGAAATAAACTGTACTTGCTACATTAGCTCACTAGGATTGTCTCAGTGTTATAGTCAACTGTAAGTCAACTTAAAGGTGACCCAAGTGTATGGTACTAAATGACTTGACTAGTTTAAATATCTGCTTTTTTTTGGCAGGGGTAGGAGGGTGGGTGAGGCAGTGGGGTTAAGTGACTTGCCCAGGGTCACAGTTACTAAGTGTCAAGTGTCTGAGGTCGGATTTGAACTCGAATCTCCTAATTCCAAGGCCGGAGCTCAATCCACTGTGCCATCTAGCTGCCCCTAGTTTAAATATTTCTGAAAATCGATTATACTTTTCATATTTACCATATCAGATGTCCCTAGCATAGTATCATTCTGTGATGTTTAAAAATTGATGACTTGTGATACATGGATACATCAGTCACTTCCCAATAGCCAACATGCTTCTACTTTCCCATTTAAAAAAAAAAAGTGTTGGGGCAGGTAGGTGGCTCAGTGGATAGAACACCAACCCTGAAGTCAGGAGGACCTGTGTTCAAATCTGGCCTCAGACCAAACACTTGACACTTACTAGCTGTGTGACCCTTGACAAGTCACTTAGCCCCAAATTGCCTAAAAATAAATTAATAAAAAAAGTGAATCTACCTAATATAGCAATTATTACATATTAGTATGGGTCATTTTCCATTTTTTAGTTTGTCACTCATTGTGTTTTGTTAACTTTAAATAAAAGTTTGATCATTGTGAAGAAAATCTACAATTTAGAGAAAAGGATGAATAATGTAATTGAGAACATCAACAATCATTTATTAAATGCCTTCTATGTCAGTCAACTAGTATTTATTAAGTACCTGTCAGGCACTGTGGAAGGAGCTAGGGGGATACAAGTACAAAGAATGAAAAGATTTTTACTGGAAGTGAGCTTACATTCTTAGTGTTGGGAACTGTGCAAAGCATTAGGGGTGTGAATAAAAGCTTAAAACTGGTGCTCTTAAGGAACTTATATTTGAATAGAATAAATTACTAGACGGTTTTTACCAAAAATAGAAAGTATTCCAGAGGAGGGGCTCTAACCAAGGGAGAGATCAGGAAAGGCCTTTTAAAGCAGATGACAGTTGAACTGATCCTCTAAGACAGCTATAGTTTTCTAGAGGTGAAGGTGAGAGGGAGCATTCTAGGTATGGGGAACAGTCAGTAGGAGATGGAAGGTTGTGTTTGTAGTAGGGAACAAGAATTAAGCACCTACTTCGTGCTAGGCTGTGTGCTGAGTGCTTTACAATAATTATCTCATTTGATCCTCATAACCCTGGGAGGTAGGAGCTATTATTATCTCCATTTTATAATTGAGAAAACTAGGTTAAGTGACTTGGCAGGTCGTACAGCTAGCTGTGGAAGGGCAGATTTGAACTTGGATCTTCCTGACTCTAGGCCCAGCATTTTCATTCTGGTAATTGGGATGTTTGAATTTAGAAATGAGGACTTAGATAGTTTTTCTTGTCTTGTTCAATTCCTTCATTTAGTGTCAAATATCTTTTCAAATGAGTAGTTTTGTGGTAACTCTGCACGAGAGAGGGTAAACCCATGAATAAGACTTACATATCCAAAGGAGACTATTAAAAGACATTCTTTTTTTTTTTTTTTTGCCTAGGCAGTGGGGTTAAGTGACTTGCCCAGGGTCACACAGCTAGTATTATGTGTCTGAGACTGGATTTGAACTCAGGCCCTCCTGAATCCTGGATCGGTGCTCTATCGACTGTACCACCTAGCTGCCCCTTAAAAGACATTTTTTACAGCCAGTCAAGAGACAGGAGTGGGTGGTATACTGAAGGTCTCTAATTCATCATTGGGATTGTACTGTGGTGTTGCAAGTCTTCAGATGTGTTGATATGGCAGTTTCAAAGATGATTTCCCAGGTTTTCTTTTGGTATAGGAAAACTTCAGTCTCTGTGTTGGAGATGCTGCTTCTTTTTTTTCAGGGGGGAGAGGGGGCAGGGGGGTGTCCCAGAAAAGTTACTCCAAGACAAAGTGTCTGCTCTGTCTGCTTTAATATCTGTGCTTTGGGACCTTTGAGCTTCGTAGTTGGTTGAGAATATTAATGTTCCCCCATTTATTCAAGGTTGGTTAGCAAGGGAAATATAAAGGATCTTGTATCAGATGTCAGATATCATTGGGCTTTCTGGGCCCAAGTGAACATTTTGCATATGAAGTTATGACTGGGTAAAGCAGGGCAACCTTAGCTGGTTTTTGGGGTGGAAGCACCAAGTAAGGGACATGTAATACTTAGGGGGTATATGCCAGTTCTCTGGCAGTTGCCAGGAGAATGGCCATTTCTTACTTGAGTGAGAAATCAAAACCTTATGTGCCCCCCCCCATGAAATATTAACTCATTCCAGGTGACATGGCAAGAAGAGAATAAACTTCCAGTACACAAGATCTTAAAAGGGGGATAAAGGCCTTATTAATTTAACTATATAAAAATATATATGCATGCATCTAGTCTATAGTAAACAAAATTTGTGCGTTTACATTCCTCCAAGTGAGGGAAAGATGGCATTTGCTTTTAAAAATTCTAAAAAACAAAACCATTGCCTTATCCACATAATACAAAGGGAATATAGAACTACAGCAACCAGACATTATGGAAAACATTGCAGAAATAAAAGGGTTTTTTGTTCTGCCACACTGGCCAGAGGTGATAAGAAACTGAGAATTGTTGATTTGATAAAATTAAGAAACTAATTAGATTAGGGGAGGGAATGGTGAAGAGAGTTCAGGATGACTCCTAGGTTTTGAACCTGAATGACAGATTCATTTTGGTGCCCTCAACAGGAAATACTGGAGTTAGGAGGAGAATGGGTTTAGGAGGAAAGATAATTATTGAGTTCTGTTTTGGGCCTGTTGTGGACGTTGAAGATGCCTATGGGGACATTAGGGTAGAGATGTCCAGCAGGTAGTTAGAAATGTAGAACTGTAGAGCAGGAGAGAAGTAAGGATTGAATGTATAGATTTGGTAGTCATCTCCATAGAGATATTTACTACTTTGGAGTTGTTGAGATCACCAGGAGAGAAAGTACAGAGGGAGAAGAGAATAAGGCCCAGGACTGAGCCTTCTACTGTGGAGCTAGAGCATGATCCTTCACCAGAGACTAAGAAGGACTGGTCAGACAGGTGTGAAGAGAGCCATGTCAGAGCAGTGTCACAAAAACCCAGGGAGAAGAGAGGAGTATGGAAGGGAGAAGGGCAGTCAACAATATTAAGCTCTGCAGAGAGGTCAAGAAGAATTGAGCAAAGGCCATTGGATTTAGCATTGACAAAATCCTGGACCTTGAAGGGGCAGTTTCTGTTGAGTGGTGCGTCTGGAAGCCAGGTTGCAAAGGGCAGAATAAGAGATGAAAAGGTAAAGCCTGTATGCAGGTTGTAACCTCTAGTAGAATGTTAGCTCCCGGAGGAGACATTCTTGTGTCTGGACTTTTAAATATAGAGAGGAAAAAGGATGATATGTTGGAATCTTAGGGTCAAGAGATTTTTTTAAACAAAAAATTAAATTTAACTTGCAGTTACCAAACTGACTCTTTAGGACATTATTGTAGGTGAAGGGAACTCATAGGAAATATTAGCCTGGTTCTTTTATCGATAAACTTATTATTCATTTATTTATTTATTTATTTTGGTGAGGCAATTGGGGTTAAGTGACTTGCCTGGGGTCACACAGCTAGTAAGTGTCCAGAGTCTGAAGCTGGATTTGAGCTCAGGTTGGTCCTCCTGACTCCAAGGCCGGAGCTGTATCTACTGCACCACCTAGCTGCCCTCTGCAAACTTCTTAATTTAAGCATCAAATGAACAT